CGCCGGCCGGTCGGCAGGCGCTCCGCGATGGGGGCGGGATCGTCGAGAACAGGGCGCCACCTTCGACCGGGCCGACCCGAACCACGAGACGCGGTGTCGTGGTGTCCGGCGGCGACGGTGCTGGCGGCTGGACTGTCCCACACGGTACCAGACGAAGGTCCTCAGCGTTTCATGTGCATCGTGCGGTAATTACCGATGGCGCTTGAGCTTCCACTGACGTGTCATGGGTCCTCCAACTTATGTATCGGACTTAACAGCATTGATTCATGGGCATCCAAACTTAACCCAACCCTGGGTTTTTGATCCCACCTGTTCAGATCTGCAACTGCAGCGGCGTGAGCTACGTCTCCGAATCCTGTTGCGATGTTCTGTTGGTGATGTTAATTCCACTGCGACATATATCCGTACAGCAACTGCACTAACGGCCGGTCCGAGGTAACCGATTACTGCCACGGAATGTCGACACGCGCGGTGGGATATGATCTGTTTTGTGTACGTAGCTTGGTTGAAACGCAAGACATGGTGACAATTGTGCTTGGTGTGATTCAAGTTGCAACCGGCTGGGATAACACGACGGGAAAAGTTTATCGGCGATGTGCACTGAGTCCATGATGGACAGAGTTGGTGTACTTCGTGTAAAGAGACAGGTAATATGCATGAGCTGAAAAACATAACATTTTAACAACTGCGTTTGCTTCAATGCAAAGAAAGGCGAATGTGCGCAATGTGCCCGGCAACAGAGCCCATACACATGATTGTGCGACCACAAAACGCATCTACGATGGTTAACTTGTTAGTTATTTTATCGTGATATAACAACAAAACAAAACCACTTCCAGTGTGAGCATCCATGTCGTAAACTCAATGAGTGTAAGAGAAAATCGAAAGCAGTGCGTAGCAATGCCAAATATGGTCGGGTTGTCTTGATGTAGCAAAAATCGTTCGAGGTGGGTCAATGTCTTCTATGTTCATGCTGCTCTTTTACATGTATCGTTAGGTGTCCATGCGCATATGCGATACTTAGCAAATATTGCCGGCCCGTGCTAACTTTGCTTGAGCTGTATTTTCTTGACACTGTGACCACAAATATTCGGTACTTCAACTGAGTGTTGAAGACTTGCCAATGCAATGTTCGGTATGTATTATGAATTACATGATCCTCGATCGCCGCAAATTTCTTCAGCAGGAAAAAACGTCTTAGCATGTATCCAGACCCGAGATTACTGCGCAAGAAAAGAATCCGAGGTGGACTGCCTGCAAAATGAATAAATGACACAAAATGCCATTCGGTGATAAGTCGTAACAAAAAATCACTACGGATCAATAAGAACAAGGTCGGCTAACAGTGATAAACCTAACCCAAGGCACATATCCAAATGCTTGGAGAGAAGCTGAACCTTACCTTATTTCAAAAGCACAAAGGTTCATCTCCGAATATAACAAATTGCCGTCCTATTGGCTACTCATTGCTCATTACTTATCTGAAGTCCTCGAAACATCCTCACGGAAGATAAAAATTGACACCTACCAAGACACAGCACCCAACCGCTGCTCGCTCATTTCACTCAGAACTTCTCCAGGTCACACGACGTACAGCAAAACTGTATTATATACCCGACAATTAGAAATATTTTGACAAAGTATCACATAAAGTTCCTTTGGACAAATGCAAAACAGATTCTGGAATCAACGGAACAATACAACACGCCTGGACTCACTGTGGTGTGGTCATGAGAAGGAGGGCGCCCCCCCCCCCCCCCCCCACCCGTGGAGGTGGGAACCCTGACTGATGGCCTGAGTACATTTTAGATATTCAAGACGCCCGTAAGTTTTCTAAACAATGAAATCTTGCCATCCAGGCAAAAATATGATTTCCTGAATTGAAAAAATCCCTCCCCCAACATTCAGACTCCAATCTGAATACAAAGACTGACTAGCGATAACTTAACAATCATTGAAGAAGGCCTAGACGCAGCATGCAAATTTGGATAAGATGGGTCGCCACATTTCACTCACTGCAAACAGTCTAGCAAACCTTCTCGCACATACCCAATGTATTGGCCACACAGCTAACGTGAGGGGCCAGCTGCTCCGTGAACCCACAGTACGCAGTACACACACTCATACCCGGTTTAAATCTTTTTTACCGACCTTCGCTTCCACTCGCAATCAACGAGACCACTAAAAGTTAAGCATGGCGCGTAGTCAATTGCACTCAATATCCAATCATTTGTGACGGATAGTTCTTGCCCTGATATGGAGCACTCACCTATTGCCCTTCTTCAACTACCGTGATCATAAGATATGACGGACGCTTGGCTCTGACAGACACAACACGATTAAGAAGACCCAGAACAGAGCAGCTAGACCCCCAGAGGCTCACGGGGCCTCTCTATTGCACGTGAACATACAGGCTGGGGCGTCAGCTTGGGGGACAACGTCAAGCTGTGACGTCAGCATGGGAAACAGCATCATCGGCTCGACGCTAAATATATAAACTCCACTTGCGCTACAAAGTCCGCAGCGACGCAACAATATCCGGCTGCATTCGATCCACTTCATCCAGCATGCGGCGACATGGGACGGGCGAGACGCGCAGACACGCGCGCACTCGCACCCGCCCCACAGTATCACTTAGGTTCCAAATGCGGTAATTGCCGAATTCACGCGTCGGGTGCGTCAAGACACTGCATGCTAAATTCACAGTAGGCGTTTCCACCCTGTCCGGCAGCATACAGCATTTCTGCAAGTGGATCCAAGAAAGCAGTCCACCGTGCCGAAGAGCTTGGGGAGGTGTGGCACACTTACGCAGCGCCAGCGCCGTGCGGCCGCGGCTCCCGGCAAGGCGCGGTTCGCGCGTCGCCGCCCAGCCAATCAGCGCGTCAGATACGCATGACATCATATAGATGACCTGGCCCGCCGCGCTCGGCCCGGGACGCGGACTGCAGGTCTGAGACGCGCCCGGGTTGCGTGCGGAGCATTCTGCTGCTATCCGAGGCGTGAAGATTACAGATCGGAGTTACAGTAGTGTTGCAAAGCTCATCAGAGCAGATCAGTGAGCGGGAGCGAGCATAACAGTGTGCATACTCCTGTCTGAAGTCCTCATCAGAGCAGATCAGTGAGAGCGGGAGCGAGCATAACAGTGTGCATACTCCTGTCTGATGTCCTCATCAGAGCAGATCAGTGAGAGCGGGAGCGAGAATAACAGTGTGCATATTCCTGTCTGAAGTCACGTCTCTTTCCTCCAATGCTGCCATCAAAATACCGGGGGCAAAAGCTCCACAACATATATGTGACGTCCTTTAGTAGCTAGCTTCAGCTCTGGTATTCAGTCCTCTTTGCTTGTAAGTGGCTTGAGCACGTCGTTAGCCACGAACTTCAATGAGTCACTAACATACCGTGCGCGAAAGCATACCGTGCGTCAGCTAAAGCACACACGAGGACAGGAGCAGACGAGGACGTAATTGGTAGCAGGATGGAAGGATGCGCAGCTTTCGACCTCGTAAGCGTGAATTCAAGGCTTACTGGCAGTGGCGTTTAGGTGCCCCGCTACAATGGCGGGGATGGATGACGTCACCAATAGCCTAAGTAGGTACATGTGTCACAATGGTAAGCTGCCAACGGACAGCAAGAGGCGTCACGCATTGCAGCGTGACATACTTTATGGATTGCTCACTACCGATCAACCGGCATTGCCGTGGCAATGGAAGTCAGGATGTGTGTTATTCTGTTTTATTATGGATAGGTTTGATAGGAAATACTGCAGACAAAATCAAAAGTGATCATAGAGAAATACACGCAAGTACACGCAATTGCATGCACTTGCAGTTTTCAGGGGGTCTGGCGATGAATTGACCACTAAAAGTGGCTTTTGGGCTGCTTTTGAAATGTTATCGTATGATAGAGAAATACGATGCTGTGGTAGTGCCGTGACCGTAATGCTTGGCGATAAGCTCAACTTTTTGTAAGAATTGTTAAATACCTCTGTCACATCTTAATACCTTCGTGTGTTGTGCTGAGAAAAACTTAAATTACTTGTGTGGCCTCTAAGTGGGGTGTGCAGACCTCTTACACTGACATTCTCTCTTCACCAGACACTGACCACCGGCTGGCAATTCCTGTGCAGCTGGGCAATGCGCCGGAGAACTGGGACGGCGAGGAGGGCTTCATCGATGCCGACATGATCCAGCGCGCGCGTGCCAAAACCCAACAGAGGCCGCTGCGAGGTAACACTGCGCCGAGCCCAACCTAAGGCGGGCGCTGCTTTGGGAATGATTTGGCTGAAACTAAGGTCTTCTCGGTCAGCAACGACCTTTGCGGTGCTATGGACGCATGAGGGCGGAGAGTGGTGGCGCGAGATGTCATGAACCCGGCAGTCTTCGGCCATCCGGGTTTATCCTCACAGCGGCACCTCTTCGGGGTATGTGCGGGCGCTCGACCGTTGCTCGAAGGGCGTTACAGGCGTTGGCTCATCGCCGTTACATGCAGCTTTTCCTGGACAAATGGGTCTTTGCGGGAATTCAAGACGAAGCGGGAACGAGAAAAAAGGGTTGGCGATGCTGCTGCAAGTTGAAATTGCACCGGGCCCGAATGAGGCGTGCTCCGCTGCAACGTCAGGCTTGTTAGTGCGCTGGGTTGGCGATCGAGTCATTTCAGGAGGCGGGACGATATTAAAAGCGTGCGCGTGCGCCGTCACGAATTACGCGTGCGCCACCTGATGTCACGCGTGCGCCGCCTGAGGTCACGCACGAACCACCATCACGCGTGTACCGTCTGAGGTCACGCGAGCGCCACCTGAGGTCACGCGTGCGCCGCCTGAGGTCACGCGTGCGCCATCTGAGGTCATGCGTGCGCCGTCTGAGGTCACGCACGGACCACCATCACGTGTGTATCTTCTGAGGTCACGCGTGCGCCATCTGAAGTCACGTGTGCGCCGTCTGAGGTCATGCGTCCGCCGTCTGAGGTCACGCACGGACCACCATCACGTGTGTATCTTCTGA